GCGAGTAATCACATGATGGGAAATCGTTCATTTTTCTCCGAACTCGACGAAGGAATAACCAGAAAGGTCAAATTCGGTGATAATTCGTGTGTCGAAATAAAAGGGAAAGGCTCAATTGTTTTCCAAGGAAAATCGGGGCAACAACGATTGATAACGGAGATTTATTTTATTCCAGATTTGAAAAATAATATTTTCAGTCTCGGACAAGCAACCGAAGCCGGGTGCGATATTCGGATGAAAGACAACTATTTGACAATGCATGATGCCGACAACTGCTTATTAATGAAGGTACAAAGAACTCCAAACCGCCTTTATAAAATACAGTTGCCCATTGGAGTACCTATTTGCCTTCATTCAAGACTAAGTGAAGACACGTGGCGCTGGTATGCAAGACTTGGGCACATCAATTTCGAGTCTATGAAGAAGATGTCCAAGAATGGTCTAGTTAAAGGGTTACCACATTTTGACAATGAAAATCAATTATGTGAGTCTTGTTTGGTGGGCAAGCAAACAAGAAAGTCATTTCCATTAATGACGACGTACAAAGCAACACGGCCATTGGAGCTAGTTCACGGTGATTTATGCGGTCCGATAACACCATCAACGAAGGGTCAAAATCGGTACATTTTCACACTAATTGACGATTTTTCACGGTATATGTGGATTTTTCTCTTAAAAGAGAAAAGTGAGGCGTTTTCACACTTCAAAAAGTTCAAAGCTTTGGCGGAGAATGAGCTTAGAAAGTCTTTGAAGGTGTTTCGAAGTGATCGAGGGGGTGAGTTTACCTCACTCCAGTTCAATTCATTTTGTGATCTAAATGGAATCAAACGTCATCTTACCGCCCCATATTCACCACAACAAAACGGTATTGTGGAACGAAGAAACAGAACACTTATGGACATGACACGAAGTATCATGAAGGCGATGCATGTTCCAAACTATCTATGGGGAGAAGCGGTAAAACACTCCACAAACCTGATCAATCGTGTTTACACAAGAGTACTTGGTAATACAACTCCGTACGAGAAGTTGTATAAAAGAAAACCTAATTTGGAGAACGTACGCATCTTTGGGTGTCTAGCGTATGCAAAAGTTGAACCGGTAAACGTGAAGAAGTTGGATGATAGATCAAGACCACTGGTGCATCTTGGTTCCGAACCGGGTACGAAAGCTTATCGTCTTTTTAACCCGGTTACACAAAAAATAATCGTAATTCGATACGTTATTTTTAATGAAACCAAAGGGTGGAATTGGGTTAACGAAGCTACACCCGACAATGAAGAACCAGGATCATTCATAGTACCATGGGATTTACCGGGAGATAAGGCGAACAACAACCAAGGAAACGATGTAAACAACGAACCAATTGAACCAAACGAATCGGATCACGAGATTGAAGACGGAGTGGAGGTACAAGAAAATGAGCACCCAAGTCTGGTCAACAACAACGTAAACAATGTTCAAAACCAAAGGCCCACAAGACCAAAGGTGCTTCCAATTCGATTACGAGATTATGTACTTTATGTTGATGATATTGAAGAACTTCTCCTAGCAACCAATGACGAGCCGGTATCGGTTGAAGAGGCAAAGAAAGAACCACAATGGGTCAAAGCCATGAATACAGAGATCAATTCGATCAACAAGAACAATACTTGGTCTCTCGTAAACAAGCCTATGGGGGTGAAGCCCATTGGACTCAAATGGGTGTTCAAGCTGAAGAAAAATGCAGATGGCACCATAAACAAACACAAGGCAAGATTGGTTGCTAAAGGGTACGTACAACAACCTGGTATTGACTTTCAAGAAGTATTTGCTCCGGTAGCTCGCATCGAAACCATACGGTTTCTCATTGCCTTAGCCGCTACCAATGGATGGGAGCTTCACCACTTGGATGTCAAGACGGCTTTCTTACATGGAGAGTTGAGAGAAACCGTCTATGTGTATCAACCGGAAGGCTACATAAGGAAAGGCGACGAGCACAAGGTAACCATCTTTCAAAAGCACTATATGGTCTTAGACAAGCACCGAGAGCATGGAATACGAAACTTGATGGGATTTTGAAAGGAATGAAATTTCACAAGTGCATGAAAGAACCATCGGTGTACCGGAAGAAAGAAGGATCCAACTTGCTAATTTTAGCAATCTATGTTGATGATTTGTTTGTCACAGGTACAAATTTGAGCATGATCAAAAGGTTCAAATTTGAAATGTCCAAGAACTTCGAGATGTCTGATCTTGGAAGATTAACTTACTACCTGGGCATTGAAGTCAAACAGGATGAATCGGGGATTACAATAAACCAAGAAGCGTATGCACAACGCATTCTGAAGGAAGCCGATTTACATGATTGCAATCCTACCCACATTCCCATGGATCCAGGAACCAAAATGTCGAAGGCCGAAGATGAACCCGAAATCGACCCGACACAATACCAAAAGTTGGTAGGATGCCTTAGATATCTCTTGCAGACAAGACCCGATATGGCATATGCGATTGGAGTTGTTAGTCGATACATGCAAGATCCAAGAGAACCACATGGTGTTGCAATCAAACACATCCTAAGGTATTTACGAGGAACAACGGGATACAGAATCAAGTACGAGAGGATGGGACAAAATCGAATAATTGGTTACAGTGATAGTAGTCATAATGTTGATCCAGATGATGGAAGAAGCACAACTGGTCATATTTTCTACTATGGGTTGTCTCCAATAACATGGTGTTCGCAAAAGCAAGATATTGTTGCTTTATCATCTTGCGAGGCAGAGTTCATGGTAGCCACTGCGGCTGCATGTCAAGCAATATGGCTTCAAGATTTGCTGGGAGAAATCTTGAACAAAACGTAAGAGAAGGTGGTTCTTAGAGTTGATAACAAGTCGGCTATCGAACTAACAAAGAATCCCGTTTTTCACGGAAGAAGTAAACACATTCACACTAGGTTTCACTTCATTCGTAATTGCGTTGAAAAGGAACAAGTGGAGGTGAAGTACATTCCAGGTGAAGAACAAAAGGCAAACATTCTCACAAAACCGTTGGCTCGAACCAAGTTCAAGATAATGCGAGACTTGATCGGGATTGAAGACATCTCTAGAAGGACTTAGAGATTCGGGGGTGATTGTTGGAATCTTAATTCCTCATTTCATTCCACTCATGTCTTCCACCCACAAATAAAGTAGGGGACACCAACAAATTGGTTGGGTCTCATGTTTATTATTATAGGATTGGAAATGATTTAGTCCATCTTATAAATACAGTGCATTATCAAGAGGGTAATACACACCAACACAGAGAAACAAAAATACACTGTAAACTAATTTGGTTTTTGAGTTATATTTCCAAATTAATCAAAGAGTAGTTTGATATATATTGTGTGCTATTACATTTTTGTGAAGCGTGAAGCTACAACTTAGGTGGATATGGGCTTGGGTGGAGACTGAGATGATGGTGTCGATTTTGGGAGGGGGATTAGGTCATAAAATTTGGATATTAAGAGGGAAAATGAAACGAATTTGGGGCGGGGAAACTTTTAATTTTGGGGAATCAAAGCGGCAAAACTAAAATTGAAGTGATAAAGTGGCACATCAAATAAGTGTCACTAAAAAAACATTATAGTGACACAAAAAAATGACACTAAAAGATTATGCCACTAAATGTAATATTATTTGTAGTGATATAAACTACGTGTTCAAATGATTTTATAGATCAATAAAAAAATAATAAGCTACAAAAAATCTTCATTTGAAATGTTCTTATAAACTAGTTTTTAAAAATAGTAAACCGCATTTGCGGTGCAGTTTGCACCTTGTAGTTTCAACTCGAAACTGTACCAAACAGTACCACAAACACCTCTAGTAAATAATACACCACAGCCTAATGTTCTTTGATTTTTCGTTTTTTTTAACGACAAATAAATGATATATATATATATATATATATATATATATATATATATATATATATATAAAATAAGGAAAAAGTATAAGCTTAGCCAACAACTAAGACGCAAACATGAGAACAAAACAGGAAAGAAAATAAAACATTATGTAAAGGTAGAATTAGAATGCGAGAAAGGTGAACAGCTTCATTCCACCCAGCAACAACTTCCGAAATTGCTCCTGTGTTTGCACCAAATATATGATTGGGAGATAATATTATCAGCGCAATTTGTTGGAGGAGTCCAGATATTTTTGAAAACTTTATCATTTCTAGCCTTCCAAATGTTCCAAAGAAGACAATAGAACACCGTGTCTGTTATCAATATTTTCCTCGGACAACTAGCAAATGAGGCCACGTGATCAGTGAATTCCAACACACAAGTGAAACTCCTAGATTGAAAACCGCACCACTTGAAAATTCATTCAAGAACCACCTGAGCATACTCACAACGAACTAGGAGATGATCAATTGATTCTAACTCCTTATTGCACATCGGACACTCTGAATTTGTGGGGTTAATACCCCTTAAAGCCACATGAATTCTACCCATCAAGGCCCTCCAAACGAAGCACAATTTCAAAGGGATCACATTTTCCCAACAAGTTACTTGTCCATTGTAATAGATCAATTTAGAGTCAATTAATCGCCTCATAGAGTTTATAATATATTCCCCATTTGGTGATAAGGTGAAATTGGCGACAAGGATTTATATGGCCGCTCATAAGATATTCCTAGTTGACACGTGAGAATTAGAAAAAAAAATTAATAAATAATAACCCAATAGCCCAAATAAAATAAAATGGAAACGAGAAATCATGATGGGAATCGTTTGAATTTCATTTGATTATAGGATCGAATGTTTGAGAATTAGAAAAAAATAATAATAATAATAAACCCAAAAGCCCAAATAAAAAATAAAAAAACGAAAGGAAAAATCATAATGGGAATCGTTTGAATTTCATTTTATTATATATATATATTATCGAATGTTGAGGATTAGAAAAAAAAATTAATAATAAATAAATAGCCTAAAACCCAAATAAAATAAAAAGGAAAGGAGAAATCATTGATCGAAGCATTATTGTGGTCGTACTAGTCGTCTACCGTAACCCTGAGGAGCGTGGGGCCTGTTCTTCAATGCACACCCGGCGAGCTACTGGTCTACCTGTTCGCAAAAAGTCAAACCAAGCTTTCGTGTTCAAAGTCTTCTATCATTCTTCCATCTCCTTTATTGACATTTCTCTTCTTCACACGCCGATGAACTTGATAACATTTCTTTGGTCAGCTCTGTTGTTCATATTTTTCTTTAATTGATTTTATATTCCTTTCCTTTTTCTGTATTCAATTTCATAACAAAATTAACTCCATCGATTTCATACTTCTACTTCTCTCATGTGTATGTATGTACCCTAGAACGGATGAACTATATCTTGTGATTCATTTACAGAACTTATTGTCTAGAGAATTTCGAAGACTTTGAGCGCAATCCGGTTTTGAACTGTACGGAGCTTATCGAAAAGTGATATATCGCGCTTCTGGTTTTAAATCCATCCAGGATCCTGAACTTGATGTAATTGCCCTAATTTTGAGATGAATTTCATTTCGTTTATGTTGTTGTTGCCCTGAATTTGAATTTTCGTCGCATGATGTTATAAGATGATCTATAAATCTTCTGGTTATGATTTCTATTTTCATCTTCAGTGACACATTACATGGTTTTATGCTTACAGGTTCGTTTTGGCATCACAGGCGTTTGACATAATCTACTAGTCAACATAGAGAACTCCTTGTTATGGATAAATTCAGTTGTTGTTTTTGGAAGGCAGCTACCCCAAAAAAGGGTGTTCATGGTAAAATCTTAACTTCAGAGTTTTATAACTCCTTTTTTACACTTACACATGCTTGTTCAATGCTAATCATTTTCTTGAAATTTTTCAGCAAACAATGGAGGAAGCAACATTGATCTTAGTGTAGGTAAGACTACCTCTAAAAGATCATTGACAAAAACATTGGTTTTGGTTTCATAAGAATTGTTGTGACTTTACACTTTACATTACATATACTTATTTGAATGCAGAACTTTTGGATGTTGAAAATATGAGATTGTATACATACAAAGATTTGCAAATTGCTACAGGAGATTTTAAACCCGAAAATAAGATAGGGCAAGGGGGTTTTGGTTCTGTTTACAAGGTAAATTTCAAAAATTTCTAATCATTTTCCTTCATGTGTTTAGATTATCACTAAACTACTTACTAATATCTTAAATACACATTTGTTAATCTCTAGGGATTACTAAAAGATGGAAAAATAGTTGCTATAAAGCTCCTCTCTGCTGAATCAAGACAGGGTTTGCGTGAATTCTTGACTGAAATAACTATTATTTCAGATATACAACATGAAAATTTGGTAAAGTTGCATGGTTATTGTGTGGAGAAAGATCATAGAATCTTGGTTTATGGGTATCTCAAAAACAGTAGTCTAGATCAAACCCTACTTGGTAATTGAAAATCGACTCACTTTTTTTCATCTTTTTTGTACTAATTCTTCTACGATTTTTTTAAAAATAATTTTGGTTTTTGTAATAGGGGGGAATCATTGTAGCATTAAGTTCACTTGGGAAATTCGAAGGAAGATTTGTATAGGTGTTGCAAAGGGGCTTACTTATCTTCATGAAGAAGTGCAACCTCATGTTATTCATAGAGATATTAAAGCAAGCAATATTTTACTCGATGAAGATTTTACACCAAAGATTTCAGATTTTGGTCTTGCAAAGCTTTTCCCATCTCATTTGACTCATGTTAGCACACGTATTGCTGGAACTCAGTAAGCTTTATTTACATCTTAAAAACATAATATCATTTCCACTATGAATATTAAACTTCCAGATATTATTAAACATTCCCACTAATGTTTTGGTAATGACTTATTGTAGAGGCTATTTGGCTCCTGAATATGCAATAAGAGGCCAATTGACAAGGAAAGCAGATATTTACAGTTTTGGTATTTTGCTTTTGGAAATTGTTACTGGAAGACCCAATCAAAACAAACGATTACCAGTTGAAGAACAATATCTTCTTGAAAGGGTATGCAATTTTTTATTTAAATTGTAGCAATGTAGTTATATTTATTTATTTATTTATTTTAATATTTTTTTTTTCAGGTATGGGAACTATATACGGAAGGGGAGCTAGAAAGGTTGGTTGACACTTCAATGGTAGATGATGATGATGATTTTGATAAAGATGAAGCTTGTAGGTACTTAAAAATTGGGTTACTTTGCACCCAAAGTCTTCCAAAAAACAGACCATCAATGTCTAGTGTGATGATGATGTTAAATGACGAAATGGACCTTGATGAAAAAGATTTATCTGATCCAGGGTTAATTTCAGAGTTAAAAAACTTTAAATCCAATAAAACTACCAACACATCAGGTAACAACACATCATCTAGTAACTCAGGAAAACAGGAGGATAAGGATTCCTCATTGTATGGACACTCAACATCATCATTCGCCACTATGAGTTTTACCACAATTAATGATCGATGATTCTACAATACACCATTTTTCTGTCTTTTTATAGTTGTAAATTTTTTGGAAACAGAATTTATTAGTAATTATGACTTTGCCATTAAGACATGCTAAGAATGGTGGAGGATTGTTGATGTGTTATTATTATTATTTTGTTTGTAGATAAGTATTGTATGTGAAAATTATTTGGATAGTTTTGAAGAGAGGAAAGTTGAATTCCTTTGTTTGATGGTATATATGAACCTGTAGTATCATGTCATCAAACAATCTTTTTGGTTTGGACTTCTCTAACCAGGGGTATTTTTAGGTATTTCATAAGTAATCACATATTATTGTAATATATTCTAACTATATCATGGGGTCGTTTTCTCCAAGAGAATGAGATACAAGCTACGTTTTCATGATGTAAATAACCCTAAAAATGATAATGTTTCCCTCATATTCTCTTAATATATGTTATTCTTTGGGATAATATCACTGTGACACAATGAAGTTTTGGGTTTGGTCCGATTTGACTGGTTATGTTTTTTTTTGTGCAAAAGGTCACCTAACTTTTACTGTACATGTCAATTAAGTCATTATCGTTAGTTTTTAATCATTCATCCGTTAACATGTTATTCTAAATTACACAAATAGCCCCTATGGTTTAAATTTCTTTTGTACTTAGTTCCTTACTATCTATGGTTTAAATTAGATGACCAAAACGACCACATTTATGAAAATATGGGGACCAAAGTGTAACATTTCCTAATAATTACTAAGTAGCTTAATTAATATAATTTTTAAGAAACCCATAGTTTATCGCCGACCTCATCACTTCGTCTCTCCAGCTATGAAATATGCTCCTATCGACAAATATAGTTTCTCGAGACCTGAAGGATTGTAGATCGATCATCGTAACGTTTCTACAATCATAAATTCAAATCTATATGGAAACAAACATCTCAACGATCAACGATGTCCTAGAATTAATCATCACAACTCCTTGATCTCGTCTACGATATGCAATTCCGACTCCAATTCTACGATGGAAACCTCCCTCTCCGAGAAAGATAAGGTTTCTTAATCTGTGATTTATTTTCTCATGATTTAAGTCAGATATTCAGATCTGTTTTACCGTAGAGTTCTCTCCAAAGACGACGATCAAGATCCATGGTTTGTTAATCTTCACTAAGCCAAATTTTCTTTTGTTTATGTGTGTTCATATGATTAAAGGGAGCCGTTAGTTTGAAACTGGTGTGCAACTAGTGTTCTTTCCAAGTTTTTTCTAAACTTTAGAATTTCTAGCTTATGTATTGTAACTGGTGCTCCATCTGTCAAAGTTATTACCGTATGGATTTGATTTTGCATATTCTTTCTTCTACTGTAATGGAAATAGTCTAGTCATAACAATTATATACAAAATATGATGCAATGTGTATCGAATTGAATCTGATGAACCGTCAATCGTTAATCAATTTAAAGAAAAATTGTCTGGTATGGGTTGAATCTGATAAACCCGAAATTGTAATTTCTGCCTAGTATGTTTCAACCAGATTTAATGGGGAAGACAATGACAATGTTACACTCTGGTCCCCATAATTTCAGAAATGTGGCAGTTTTGGTTGTGTAATTTAAACTATAGTTGGTAAGGGATCAACTACGAAAGAAAGTTAAATCATAGGGGCTATTGTATAATTTATAATAACTGCTTAACGGATGAATGATTAAAAACTAACGATAATGACTTAATTAACATGTACAATAAAAATTAGATGACCTATTGCGTAAAAAAAAATAACATAATTGGTCAGATCGGACCAAACCCAAAATTTTATTGTGCTACAGTAACATTATCCCTTATTCTTTTGTAAATAGTCATTTGTTTTCTTAAAAGAGAACAATGTATCATAAGTTTTCAGATCGGTCAAACTTTAGGTTCACGATCATTCGTGAATTGTGAATTTGAATTGTATCTAATTTGTACACATTAATTCATATGCAAATGACCATTTCACTTATTTTATTTATTATTATTTTTTATCTTGAGTAATTCATTTGTATATGATCAAAAAATTGAAATAGTAAAACAAATCCAAGGTTCTAAATGGTGTGGACATGGTGTGATGGCAAGGTCAAACTTCAAGCCATGGTGAGCATGGGCAAGTCATGAAGTTTTTCAAGGGGCGACAATTTTATATACATTACAATCACATAATTATAAAATTATATCAAATATATCAAGTTTTTAGAAGTGTTATATCAACACTTAATATGAAAAAGTTAACAAAAATTCAATTGTTTCATGTTCGATAAAAAAAACAAACAAAAATTTGCACCATGAAAAAAAACTCGCGTCATAACACGATAAGGCGTACCATGACACGTTATTTGAGTGACATGCTTAACAAACTCGTATTTGACGTTTTCGAGATGACTACACCACGCCTCACGCTATGACACACAATAACACATATTTTAGAACCATGGTTTAGATTCATTATAATTTACATAAATATTTATAATTCATATTCATCATTCACATGTGAATCACAATCATGTATACTAAAAAATCGATAGATATTATACGATTATTGTACATAATGATCATTCACATTGAATATTAATTATAAAAAAAAGTATATGTTAACGATTAATTTGTGAATAATCATCAATTGTTGAAAAAAAATAAGTATAATGAATATTTACATGTGAATTATTTTCGATAAAAAAAATGACATTTTAGATTCATAGTGTAAATATGAACTGATATTTTAAAGGGAAAAAAAATTAGTTTTTTATTATATCGATTTTGGATTTTCTTACAAAAAAAAATATCAATGTTTTCCAAAAACAAAGATAATATCAACTTATCAAATAATCTAACCAAACTTGCAAAAATGACTCTAATACAAATTGTTGGGTTTTTATTCAAAAATAATCTCATTATAGTGACAAATTCAATGTAATTAGCAACAAAAACATTTTATAGATTTGAATAAACTAAAATCATTTTAACCATCAATGATCATTTTGCAAAGCTTAGAAAGATTAAAACACAACCATAGGAAAAAAGAATACAACATTTGAAAACTTTGATTCTCATGGAAGATTGAAAGTTGATGAAGAATACAGAGTAGAACTCCATCTTAGCTAGAAACACCAATAAATTTTCAACTTGATAAGATACTAGTCTTCTTCTTGTAATAACAAAACTCTTAAGCCTTTAAAAACAAAAAACAGAGCTTATGTTCTAAAAGAGAGTTCAAATATCAAAGCTTTTCTCTACAAATGACTTAACGCTTTAAGTGAAATGAGAGAGAGAGAGAGAGAGAGAGAGAGAGGAAGAATCCAGATTTCATCCATCAAGAAGGAAGAGAATAACTAGCTTATTATACGCTTTACTTTAAGCCTTTATCCCATGGGTCTTAACACTTTAAGACCCATGCTTTATCATTATGCAAGACACACCTTACAAGCATGCATGCCTTAATATAATCATCAAAAGCCCTTAACTTGTCCCCCTCCATACAACCTATGATTTTGCTTATAAAAAAGAAAGAGATTTTATAAAAATCTCTCATTCTTTTATAACTTATAAACCTTTATCCAATTAGCTAAAAGATAAAAGTATTTATAGTCCAAAAGAATATACATAACACAATAAATCATAGCTTATGATATATCATGATGTGTTATGATACTTAACATTGAAAATTAATATTTCTATGAAATAAATAATTTCCAATTAATTACAAGATATATATATATATATATATATATATATATATATATATAAAGAATCAAATTCTTATAAATAATATATTTATATCAAGTTGTTGTTAGTGTGACACTTTAGGATCATATATTATCTAGCAGTATCATTCTATAATGAATCCGGAACATAAAAATATTTCACGTATTACAGTTGTAAAAAATGAAGATAACGACTTATATAGGTTTGAGTATTTGAGGATCGGCATACTTGTTCAAGTTATTCCCAATCATTTTCAAATAAATAAATTAAGTTTTGAAACATGTATTGAAATATTTAATGGGGGAGCATCTAAAAAACTTTTGCCACACTTTTAAGGGACTCCACTAAGTAAATATTGGAGCTTCATCATCATCATCATTGTGTCACCTTTAAATTCACCATTTCTTGTCAACCTTATCCTCCTTTAGTAGCTTGATAGAAATGATAAAAAAAAGCCATTAAAAAGGAAAAAAACATGCTTCTTCAAGACTATAAAGTTAAAATGTATACCTCGCGATCATCATTGAACTTGTTTGAACTGTTTACATTACATCCTTATAACTAGTTGGTGTAGGTTTAGCCGGTTCAATGGTAATATGTGGACAAAAAAAAAACATAAGGGGTTGTAGCACCTGGTTCCTTGTATGTATTTTTATCTAAGTATTTTGCATTTTTGGCCTGGGACTCGGCGAGTTGAAGGCCCAACTCGTCGAGTAGAAGCGGGTTTGATCCGGGATTTAAATGACGGACTCGTCGAGTCGGCTTCCAGACTCGACGAGTAGACGTTGTCTGGACAAAAACCCTAATCTGAGGGTTTGCACCCTATTTAATCATCTCATTCAGCCCCCACTCATCCCTATTGCTCCCAGAAACCCTCCATAGTGAACCCTAATTGTGTGTGTGAAGATCTAAGGCATTTGTGGTGATTTTTTGTGGTTTTGATCACAAGGAAGAAGGAAGAACTTAGAGGGATCAAGAGAAGACCAAAGGAGTCCTTGTTGGTTCATCATTTGCAGTCTCCAGAAGGTATAAAGTCTATACCTTGCTTGTTCTTTTGTTAGATCCCTTTTTGGGGAGATTTAGGGCTTTTAAGCCATATTTTGTAACCAACCATGCTTGCAAGCATGGTTGGGGGGTCAAGGCTTCGGATCTAGGACCTTGGAGGGGTCACAAGGCAGTTAGGGGTTGCTTTTGCACCCATGGAAGGCTCCATGCATCTTAAGAACTTCTTTTTGGGCATTTTAGGCTCAAAGTCCCATGCATGCACGTAAAGTTTGTAACTTTACGTGCTAGATCGATCTTAAGGGCATAGATCTATCATTTGGACAAGAGTTGCACTTCAGAAATCGAAGAATTAGAGTTGGACGTTATCGACTCGGCGAGTCGTTCTTTGGACTCGGCGAGTCGGAGACTTGACTCCCTTTTTCTGTTAGGGTTCGAAGGAACCCAGTTGGGTGATGTAAGAGTTTTAGAGGATCCAAAGGAGTGACCCAAC